CGCAGTTCAGAGTTTGAGGTTGCTGTGAGCTAGGCTGATGCCACAGCATCACTCTAGCCTGGGCAACAAAGTGAGACTCTGTCTCCAAAAAAAATAAAAAATAAAATAAAATAAAATGGTAAATTATATCTTATGTATATTTTACCACAATTTTTAAATATCCAACTATTCCTACTCTGAGAATTTTTTTATTCTTTTAAATTTTTTTTTAATTAATACATTTCTTCTTCTTCTTCTTTTTTTTTTTTTGTCCTGATATCTAATGAGAATTTTAAAAATCAGGAATGGATGTTGAATTTCCTAAAATACTTTCTGGTGTCTATTAAAGTAGCATTTTACTTCAAAATCCAGCCCTGCTTTCTGTACCTGGCACATCTGACATACCCAGTAAATGTTACTGAATGAAAACAAATGAACAAAAGACCTCCTCTTCATGCTCACTAGAATGGGTGTAATTTTTTTTTTTTTTTTTTGACATCCCTGGGACTACAGGCATGCGCCACCATGCCCGGCTAATTTTTTCTATATATATTAGTTGGCCAATTAATTTGTTTCTATTTATAGTAGAGACGGGGTCTCGCTCTTGCTCAGGCTGGTTTCGAACTCCTGACCTCGAGCAATCCGCCCGCCTCGGCCTCCCATAGTGCTAGGATTACAGGCGTGAGCCACCGCGCCCAGCCCTATGTATTTTTAGTTGGCCAATTAATTTCTTTCTATTTATAGTAGAGACGGGGTCTCGCTCTTGCTCAGGCTGGTTTCGAACTCCTGACCTCGAGCAATCCGCCCGCCTCGGCCTCCCATAGTGCTAGGATTACAGGCGTGAGCCACCGCGCCCAGCCCTATGTATTTTTAGTTGGCTAATGAATTCCTTTTTATTTTTAGTAGAGACAGGGTCTTGTTCTTGCTCAGGCTGGCCTTGAACTCTTGACCTCGAGCAATCCGCCTGCCTCCACCTCTCAGAGTGCTAGGATTACAGGCGTGAGCCACCGCGAACTCTTGTACTAATACATTGCTGGTGAGAATGTAAAATGTGGAACACAGTTTGGTGGTCCCTCTGAAAGTTAAACACAATTACCATATGACCCAGCAACTCAACTGCTAGAGTTATAACCCCCCAAATTAAAAATAGGTACTCAAGTACTTGTTCAAGAATAATCATAGCAGCACTATTCATAATAGCCAAAGGTGGAAACAACCCAGATATCCATCAACAGATGAATGCATAGCAAACTATGGTATTTAAATACAGTGGACTATTATTCAGCCATGAAAAGGAATGAAATACTGATACAGGTTACAACTTCAATGAGTTTCTAAACATGTTAAGTGGAAGAAAGCAGACACAAAACAAAAGGTCACATTTTGTATGATTCCTTTTTATATGAAATATCCAAAATAGGTAGATCCCTAAAGACAGAAAGCCTATTAATGTTTGCCACTGGGGATGGGGGATGTGTGGTAATTAATATGTTCAGGGTGTTCTTCTGGGGTGATGAAAAATTTGGAAACTAGGGAGAGGTGATGGTTGTACAACATTGTGGATGCACTCAATGCCACTGGATTGTATACTGTAAAATGATTAATTGTATGTTGCACAGAACTTGATTTAGCTATTATGGAGTTTTGTGGGGAGCAGTGGTGCATCTTTCAGAGAACTGGCCCTAAGTTCCTAAGAAGGCAAAAGCACACACCTACGAAGGGTACGCAGGATCTATCTGTACTATTAATACTTTTGCAACTTCAAAATAAAAGTCTAAAGAAAAACAAAGATGTGGTTGTGGCTGCCCCATGCCTCTCACCCTCAGGTCTAACACTCAGAGACCGACCACCTCCTGAAGTCCTGGGACTCAATGCCAGGCGGTAGACCTCAATTGGCCCACCTAGGGCTGGCATCTATCCTGATCTGGAGGCAAGACCAGGAGCTGGCTCAGAATCTAGTTTCACTTTCACTTCTGTTTTCCTCGAAATGACAGAAGAGCCAGGAAGAGAGCTGTGACAACAACGTAGTGTCTGTCCTTTACTCTTACGGTCCTGGTGCCTGTTTGCACTAGCTACAGCTGGGCACTGGCCCCTGCTGTCACCACCTCCCACACACAGACCCTGTCTGTGAGCACGGCAGCCTGCTGTTCAGCCCCAGGCTTGAGGATGGATGTCCTGGGGACTTCCAAGCTGCTGGACGAGGAGCTGTACTCAAGACAGCTGTAAGGCCGAGGTGGGGTGGAGAGTGGGGTGGCCTTGAGGCCTCTGATCTACAACTACCTGCTCTTCTACTTCCCATCCACAGGTATGTGCTGGGCTCACCTGCCATGCAGAGAATTCAGGGAGCCAAGGTCCTGCTGTCAGGCCTGCAGGGCCTGGGGGCTGAGGTGGCCAAGAACTTGGTCCTGATGGGTGTAGGCAGCCTTACTCTGCATGATCCCTACCCCACCTGCTGGTCCGACCTGGCTGCCCAGGTAAGCGCTCTGGGGGGCTATGGGATCCCAGACCAGGGTGGGAGCAGCACCCAAGAGGAATCTCTTTGCTCAGGCTGTACTGGGTCTCTCCCTAGTTTTTCCTCTCAGAGCAGGACTTGGGAAGGAACAGGGCAGAGGCCTCTCAAGAGTTCTTGGCTCGGCTCAACAGAGCTGTCCAGATCTTTGTGCACACGGGTGACATCACTGAGGACCTGCTGTTGGAATTCCAGGTCAGCCCAGTACCCTCCTCCAGCCTTCAACAGCAGGGAGGGCTGGGAAGTAGTTCCAGCCCTGCTGCTGATCACGCTGTTCCCCCCAGGTGGTGGTGCTGACTGCCTCAAACCTGGAAGAGCAGCTGAAGGTGGGCACCTTCTGCCATCAGCATGGAGTCTACTTTCTGGTGGCTGACACACGGGGCCTTGTGGGGTGAGGGAGACTGCCTGCCCAGCCTATCACATTACAGCCCTCAACTCGTCCCAGTGCTGTCCCCAGCTCCAGCTTGCTCCAACGCCCCTCATCCCACCTCAGGCCTACCCAAGCATTCCTCCCTGGTTCTGGTCCCCGGTCTCACTCTCTGGTTCCTCCATTCCCCCTTCCAGACCTGCTCCAGTGACCCTCTCAAACTCTAGTTCCCAAGCCTCTAGCATTTCTTTCCCAAGTCTGGCCCTCTGGGCCTGACCTAGTGTCCCTTCCCCTTAACCACAACCTGTGAGCCACCTCACCCCACCCCATCCCAGGCAGTTGTTCTGTGACTTCGGTGAGGACTTCACTGTGCAGGACCCCACGGAGGCAGAACCCCTGACAGCTGCCATCCAGCACATCTCCCAGGTGGGTGCTGAGCCATGGGCACTCGCCTGCTGACCAGGGAGGGGCTGCTAGCGCCTGTGGAAGGCAGGTACCGCACCCTGAGCCAAGCCCCCTCCTACCCAGGGCTCCCCCGGCATTCTCACTCTGAAGAGCGAGGCCAGCACCTGCCGTTTCTGTGATGAGGACTTGGTGACTTTCTCAGGCATCGAGGGCATGGCTGAGCTCAACGGCTGTGCTCCACGGCCCATCCACGTCCGGGGTAAGCCAATCCCTTTCTAAATTCAGGCTCGGTCCCACACCAAAAATGGAGGAAAAATTCTAATAAAAAAAATAAAAAAAATAAAAAAAATAAATTCAGGCTCGGCACCCAAGCTTCCATGGGGGCTGAAGACACCCTGGTCCCTGGGGATAGGTTCTCCCTCAACCTTCCTCAGAGCGCGGCAAGGTCTGGGACACAGATGCAAGACAGGATGGCATGTGGAAACTACTAAGGTTCAGGGGTCATACTGACTAGGCTGGATCTCTCCCAGAGGACGGGTCCCTGGAGATTGGGGACACAACAACTTTCTCTCCGTACTTGCGTGGTGGCGCTATCACTGAAGTCAAGAGACCCAGGACAGTGAGACATGTGAGTGCGTCTGAGGTGGGGGAGCATGGGCAGCCCGAGGGGCCTGTAGTGTTCTGGACCTGATGCTGAGCCAGGTGCCCCTGCAGGAACCCCTGGACACAGCCCTGCTCCAGCCCCGTGTGGTGGCCCAGAGTCCCCAGGAAGTCTACCGTGCCTACTGCCTGCACCAGGCCTTCCATGCACTGCACACGTTCCAGCACCTCCATGGCCGGCTACCCCAGCCCTGGGATGTTGTGAGTAGCCTGGTCACCCCTACCCCAGCCTCTGTCTTACTGAGGTTTCACTTGCCGGAAGTCAACAATGACCATTCCAGATCAAGTCTGAATCCCAGAGGCAGTTTCCCCACTCATAAAAAGGAGATGAAAAACACTGTCTCTAGACTAGAGGCTGGTTCCATGGAAGAGCCAGGCACACATCATGGGGACCCCTACGACACCCTAACCCCTCAGATGAGGGCTGGAAGCTGCACCCAGGTTGGCAAAGCCTTCAGGGCTGTTGGGGCTGAGCATCCTCTGGTGCGGCACAGGCTGGCAACAGGGCCAGGCCTTCCCACTCAGGTCTCTGCTTCCTCTTTTGTGGAACAGGACGAACCGCTGCCTGAAGGAGTGGAGTGGGGGTTGGTGCTCAGGGTGGGGCTACTATACCCACAGAATCCTACCCCACAGGTTGATGCAGAGACAGTGGTAGGGCTGGCCCGAGACCTGGAACCAATGAAGGGGACAGAGGAAGTGCCATTGGAAGAGCCACTGGATGAGGTCCTAGTGCGGACAATTGCCCTGAGTAGTGCTGGCGTCTTGAGCCCCATGGCAGCCTTGCTGGGTGCAGTGGCTGCCCAGGAAGTGTTGAAGGTGGGTGCAGGCATAGGCGGGCATGGGAGATAACTGAGAAGTTGTGGAAGTCCATGTATGTACTAGAGGGCACCCAGCACCAGATGGCCACCCTGGAGGCTTCACCAACCTGGGTGCAACCTCCAGCCGGGATCTGAGAGGGTTAGGAAGTTGCAGGAATCCTCAGCCTGAAGTGCCACTCCTAGGCAATCTCCAGGAAGTTCATGCCCCTGGACCAGTGGCTGTACTTTGATGCCCTCGATTGTCTTCCGGAAGATGGGGAGCTCCTTCACAATCCTGAGGACTGCATCCCGGTGAGAGCTTGAGGAGCCTTGTCCAAAATCAGGGCTAGGGGAGAACATGAGGAAGGTCCCAAGGTCCTGATGCAGAAAAACGCAGGCCATTAGTCATCACTGACCCCTGTCTGTGTCCCCTAGAGAGGCTGCCGCTACGATGGTCAAATTGCAGTGTTTGGGGCTAGCTTTCAGGAGCAACTGAGCTGCCAACACTACCTCCTGGTGAGCTGTGGGGTGAGGTTGGGAGTGCCTTTGGGAGGGCTGGGCCAGGCCCTCTGACTAAGGCTGCTACTGCCAGCAGGTTGGTGCTGGTGCCATTGGCTGTGAACTGCTCAAAGGCTTTGCCCTGATGGGCCTTGGAGCCGGGGGCAGCAGGGGCTTGACTGTTGTTGACATGGACCATGTAGAGCGCTCCAACCTCAGCCGTCAGTTCCTCTTCAGGCCACAAGACATTGGTGTGAGTACTGGCCCCTGCCCACACCCTTGTGTCCCAGACTGTCCTCCACATAGTCCCCCACCCAACATATTCCTGCCTTCTTCCTAGAGGCCCAAGGCAGAGGTGGCTGCAGCAGCTGCTCTGGCTCTGAACCCAAACTTAAAGGTAACCCCACTCACCTACCCACTGGATCCCACCACAGAGCACCTCTATGGGGACAACTTCTTCTCCCAGGTGGATGGCGTGGCTGCTGCCCTAGACAGTTTCCAGGCCCGTGAGTGCTCGATTTTGGAGCTCAGTCCCTTGCCCAAGGCTGTGCCAGCTCCACTTCTGACCCTCTGCCCCCTTGCCAGGGCGCTATGTAGCTGCTCGCTGCACCCACTATCTGAAGCCACTGCTGGAGGCAGGCACGCAGGGCACCAGGGGCAGTGCTTCAGTGTTCATGCCACACGTGACTGAGGCCTACAGAGCCCCTGCCTCAGCTGCGGCTTCTGAGGATGCCCCCTACCCTGTCTGCACTGTGCGGCACTTCCCCAGCACAGTTGAGCATACCCTGCAGGTGGGAAGCACCCTGAAGACCCCCACCCCCCGTAGCTCAGCCCTCAGGTGCAGACCTGTTCCCCACCTGACATCTCATCGTTCCTTCCTCCTCCACAGTGGGCTCGGGATGAGTTTGAGGGGCTCTTCCGACTGTCTGCAGAGATCATCAACCACTACCAGCAGTAAGACCACCAACGGAGATAGATGGGAGTCCAGGGCTCCAAGCACGAGGGTCTACGGGGCTTAGTCTCAAACTTCCTCATCTCTCTGCAGGAGACGCACTTCCCTGGCAGACATGGATGGGCCACAGACACTGACCTTACTGCAGCCAGTGCTGGGGGTGCTGAGAGCCCGTCCACAGAGCTGGCAAGACTGCGTGGTGTGGGCTCTTGGCCACTGGCAACTATGCTTCCACCATGGCATCAAACAACTGCTGAGGCGCTTCCCACCTGATAAAGTGGGTGGCTTGGGGTTGGGAGGCTGAGGGCTCAGGAGCACCAGGCTGAGCCCAGCAGTCTCTATTTTCCTAGGTGCTTGAGGATGGAACTCCCTTCTGGTTGGGTCCCAAACAGTGTCCGCAGCCCCTGGAGTTTGACACCAGCCAAGTGAGTGGGGTTTCCTAGGGAGTGCCAAGATGGAGATGGGGTCTCTCAGAGCAGTGCTAGGCACCTCTGCATTCCGCAGAGATGCACAATGCTGAGAGAGAGCCATGCTTCTACACGTGTGGGCATCCACATGTGAGGCAGAGGCAGGCACCCAGACAGATTCACAAATGGGCAATCGCCCTATCCCATGCACCCACACATGCTTACTCGCGTCGTGCATCTGCTCCTGCTCTTGGTCTGGCTGCAGGACACACACGTCCTCTATGTGCTGGCAGCTGCCAACCTGTATGCCCAGATGCATGAGCTGCCTGGCTCACAGGACTGGACTGCACTCAAGGAGCTGCTGAAGCTGCTACCACAGCCTGATCCCCAGCATCTGGCCCACATCTTTGCTGGTAACCTAGAGCTGGCTTTGGCTTCTGCTGAGTCTGGTGAGACCCCTGGCCCTAGTCCCCCCTGCTGACACTCAAAGGCCAAAGCCTGTACTATCCTCAGCCTGTGCTACAGAGGGAAGACAGGGTCTGGGGCACCTACAGCCAATCCACTACCTCTCAGTCCCTCTGACCTTGCTTCTCTCTAGGTTTAGACCCATCCTCTGGTCCCTCAGCAGGCCTTTTCCCTCCTGCCTACACCACATCTCAGTTCTCTTAGCAGATTCTCAGCAAAATAACTAAATAAATAAAATCCACTGGGCCCTGGGGAGCAGCTAGCTATGGCCCCAGATGAGGACAGAGTCACACAGGTGTGCATGCATGTGTGTGCACACACTCACACACACGGGGAAGGCCAAGACTGCTAGGGAGGAGATTGAAGCATTAATTAAGGGGGCTTCTTTTTTTTTTTTTTTTTTGAGACAGAGTCTCACTTCTGTTGCCTGGGCTAGAGTGCCGTGGCATCAGCTTAGCTCACAGCAACCTCAAACTCCTGAGCTCAAGCGATCCTCCTGCCTCAGCCTCATGAGCAGCTGGGACTACAGGCATATATATTTTTAGTTAGCCAATTAATTTCTTTCTATTTATAGTAGAGACGGGGGTCTTGCTCTTGCTCAGGCTGGTCTTGAACTCCTGACCTTGAGCAATCCACCCGCCTCGGCCTCCCAGAGTGCTAGGATTACAGGCGTGAGCCACCGCGCTGGCCAAGGGGGCTTCTTGATTTGATTAAGGAGTTTTAAGTGGGCCGGGTGCAGTGGCTCACGCCTGTAATCCTAGCACTCTAGAAGGCTGGGGTGGGAGGATCTCTCAAGAGTTCAAGACCAGCCTGAGCAAGAGCAAGACCCTGTCTCTACTAAAGATAGAAAAAATTTAGCTGGGCATGGTGCCATGTGCCTATAGTCCCAGCTACTTGGGAGACTGAGGCAGGAGGATTGCTTGAGCCCAGGACTTTGAGGTTGCAGTGAGCTATGATAACACCACTTCACTCTAGCTGGGGCAATAGAGCAAGATTTTGTCTCAAAAAAACAAAGGAGGAGTAAGTGTTAGGCTTGGCAGAAACCAAGAATAGGTACTAGGCTCCAAGAAGAGTGCAGGAAGGGACAGGGGTCAAGGACTGCCCAATGCCCTTTCTTGCCTGACAGGCCCTGAGCAGTTGAAGGAAGTGGGCGATGTCCTGGAAGTCTGGAGGATGGGCTCTCCCCTGAAGCCTCTGATATTTGAGAAGGTGGGAGCCCAAGTTGGGGTGAGGAGTTGGGCTGGGGAAGTTGTTGGGGAAGGTCAGGAGCTTAGAGGGTAGCTTTGGAACTCTTTGGCCCAAGTTCTCCAAGTTCCCATCCAGGACCTGGAAGCAGCTTACTTTCCCTGAACTTCAGCTTCATTATCTGATAAATGGGGAGATGATGAGCACCCACCTCACAGAACTGTGGGAAGGCCTGTGAGGTGGCACACAGATGGCTATGGTGAGGGACACTGCTGCAGTGTTAACACTACTGTGATTGAGCCTCATAGGATGATGATAGCAACTTCCATGTGGACTTTGTGGCAGCAGCGGCTAGCCTGCGGTCACAGAACTATGGGATCCTACCAGTCAATCGTGCCCAGGTAACCCTGCCCCTTGGGGCTCAGGTCTAGAGGTGGGGGCCAAACCCTTGCTCTAGACCTTGGGCCCAGACCAAAGCTCCTGTTCTTGGCAGTGCAAGCGAATCGTTGGTCAGATTATCCCAGCCATCGCCACCACTACAGCAGCTGTGGCAGGCCTGGTGGGCCTGGAACTGTATAAGGTGGTGGGGAAGCCACGGCCCCTTGGTGCCTTTCGCCATAGCTATCTGCATCTGGCTGGAAACCACTTCAGCCGCTGGGTGCCTTCAGCCCCAGCCACCCAGACAGTGAGTCCTTGATACCTCACCCCTACTCCTACTAGGCCTGGATTTTCCCTCCGCCTACCCACATAGGCTCCACCCTAGCTGTGGGCTCTCACCAGGACCCCAAATATGCAGGTGTCCTCAAGACTCTTTCCAGCCCCCTCCCTGCCATGAAGCCAGGCTGGGACCTGTCAGACACAGGAAGCAGCCATCAGCCATCCCCACCCCCCTACACTTCACAGCCCAGGGTCTGGAGGAGCTGCCTCTTTAACTCATTAGTGGAGCCAGATATCCCCTACAGCCCCCTCCTTCCCAGTAGTACCCCTGAAGGGGAGGTGGCAAGGAGGGGGACTAGGGCCCTATCCCTAGGAAAAGTCTTGCATTCCCCTACATGGCATGGGGGCCCTGGCCTGCCCCTTCCTAGCTGAGTTAAAGGGCACTAGGCTTGTTACTAGGGGGGTGAGGTCTGCAACCCTGTGGGGCGGTCTATGCATTCATGTCACCGGGGTCTGGGCATCCCTGGTGTGTGGGCATGGAGGCAGCAAGCTTGCACATCTGTATGCCAGATGGGAGTGCAGGACTCTTCCTCAATGTCGGTATGCAAGGATGTGCATGTGGGTACACACAAGTGTGTTCCTCGGCTTGTGTGCATGTGTGCTCCTGTGTGTGCGGGGTTGTGAATGCCTCCAGCCATGTGCCCAAGCTCTGCAATACTTGGCATTTCCTTGGGGCATACGAGAGGGGGTGGAGGGAATGCTCTCACCAGGGAGAGGGCAGAGGTCATGGGCCAGCACTGGGCTTTTGCTGAGCAGCCCTGGGTTCCCTCCAGACATAGCACACAGAGCCCCTTTGTGAGGCACCCCACCTCTAACTAGCACACAGTCTGCCTTTGTCCAGAGAGTGGAGGGGGAGGGGAAGGAGCCCCCATCTTGCCTGTAGCCTAGTTTCAGCTTGACTCCGGTGTGTTTTCTAAGAGACTGGCAGAGCCCCCCTGTCCTGGCCTCTGGATGCCTGACAGTCACTCTTCTGTCCTCAGCTCTATGCACCAGAACCTCAAGACTTTTGAAACAGGGAAGGAAAGAGGGATTAGGAAGAGGAGGCCTCTATGGACTGGGACCCTCCTGGGGTCTCTGGGCCAGTAGGGCTCCAGTGGTCACTGTGCCTTTTGCCCCTGTAGTAGTCCAACGCCCTGGTGGTACAGGATGGGGGGATAGGATGTGGCCCCCAGCTCCCAGCCTGTATCTGAGAAACAAGCAGTTTTATCAGAGACTGCAGGGGCCCTGCTCCAGCTTCCTCAGGAAGCACCACCCCCTCATCCTCCCCCCAACACAACTGGCCCGTGTGATGGATCGTCTGTTTCCCTGTGCGGGCCCCATAGCCCTATTTCCTGTGTTGGCCCCAGCATGGGCGGGGAGGGGGCTGAGACTCTCGGCTCAGATCCCACCCTCCACCCCCTACCCTCTGGCTCCTGTTTCCTGCCTGTAGTCTAGCTCTTCCCCTAGGAAAGGCTACTAGTAACTGGGATAGGGGTTAGGGTGTAAGAAGTTGCTCACTCCTTCCCATCCCCCATTCCCCAGTTCCATCATCTGAAGTGGACCTGTTGGGACCGTCTGAAGGTTCCTGCTGGGCAGCCTGAGAGGACACTGGAGTCGCTGCTGGCCCATCTCCAGGTGTGCCCTTGCCCTCCCTTGCCCCCAGTCTCAGCTCAGCCTGGCCCAGCTGGCATCTGACCTTTCTCTAGGAGGAACATGGGCTGAGTGTGAGGATGCTGCTGCATGGCCCAGCCCTGCTCTACTCAACAGGATGGTCACCTGAAAAGCAGGCTCAGTACCTGCCCCTCAGGTGAGCCCACACTTGGCTTTAGCCAGGCCCCATGTGTCCCTGGAGATTTGGAATGGGGGACACACAGTCTTCCCAATCCCATTCTGGGGCCCTCACACCTTCCCAAAGCATTCTTTCACCAAATGGAGCCAGCAAATGGGCTGGGGGTGGGGCCAGGGCTGACAGCCTGAGCAGGGGCCTTCAGGAGCTGCTTGCTTGGCCAGCCCCGCTGGCGCCCCCACACACTGCACAGCCCCCTTTCACAGCCCGCTCCCAGGGGACCCATGGCTTCCTGCCTCCTGCTTGCCCCGCCAGCTGCTCCTAAAATAGTTTCAGATGTTTCCTGTCTTGAGCTGCTCCTGCTCCTGGCTTAGGCTCCTGATGGCTGCCAGTGCCCGCTAGCCCATGCGAGGCTGCTCTCTGTCTGCCACTGCTCACCTACCCAATCTCCTCTAAACCCCGCCCCCCACCAGGGTGACAGAACTGGTTAAGCAGGTGACAGGCCATGTGCCTGAGCCTGGGCTGCGGGTGCTGGTCCTGGAGCTGAGCTGCGAGGGTGAGAAGGAGGACACTGCCTTCCCACCTCTGCACTATGAGCTGTGACAAGGCAGCCGACCCATCACCTGGCTCGACTGAGCCTGACATCTTGAGCCCACAGTAGGCACTCAATAAATGCTTATTAAAGGAAAGCATAGTGGAGAGGATGGATGATAGAACACTGGGTAGTAATGCACATGAGTGTGACATGGGAATAACAGGGACCCTTGCAGGGAGAGAAAAAGCTCTTTAGAAGATTTGCCTGGCTTGGCTGGGCTTCCCAGGGCTGAGGCTGCCTCCTGGAGCCTCACAGGTAAGGAGCTAGGTAGTCTAAAAAAAGGCCTTTATTGTCCCGGGATGGAGGGCAGGGTCAGAGGTAGCTGACATCATTGCAGATGATGGGCTGGCGGCTGCGGCAGCTCATGAGGGCTGCAAAGCGTGAGATGTCCCCAGGCAGCTCAGGTTCAGGGCGAGGTGGGCATGATAGCCGTTTTCCTGCCATAGCTGCCCGACGTGCCCTGGCCAGCCGGCGCCGAAGCTGCTCTGAGAGGCCAAGCAAGAACTGGGGGGGCCGAGCACGAGCACGGTGTCCACCTCCATCGCCCCCTTCACTGGCTGTTTCGGGCAGCTCCATCCAGTTGTGCACCAAGTCAGCAAAGCAGTTGTCCCCCAGCACCAGGGGCTGGCGACTGCGACCCCTATTCAGTAAGGCCGCTGTCCAGTCCTCTGCTTCTAGTCCCTGCCAATGCTCCAGGCAGGCATCTGGGGTGGACTTGGGCCGTGGACGGCGGGCAGGTGGTGCGCTGGCTACAGGGGCCCTGCTGGGCAGGGGCAGGCCACTAAATGAGAGGCGCTGGCCATGAGGGGGCCTTCCCAGGGATGCTGGGGACTGGGGTACAGGCAGCTCTTCCTCTCTCCATGTACTGCCTGATACCTCAGAGAAGCCAGAGTCCCAGTCCAGGGCATGTTCCCTGGGGCCCCCTAAGGCTGCACCCTTGTCTTCTGTCACCACTGTTTCCTCCTCTTCCTCCTCCTCTTCCACACAGCAGACAGAGTCCTCTTCCAAGGCATCTGAGGCCCTGAGCTGGTGGCTGTGCTGCATACCTGGGCCAGTTTTGAGGGCTGGCTTCAGGGGGCTGGGCATCGGGGGTGAGCCTGTGTCCCGGCCACACAGCTGAGGGGAAGAGAGGGCAGAAGTTGGAGAGGTATCACTTGTCACCTCTGCCTGCCTGGCCAGGCCAGTCCTGAGAACAGAGGGTCCAGGAGGGCTTGATAGGCCTACTGGCCTGGGCAGCAAGGCTACTAGTGAGCACAGGGCCAGCTTGGGGGCGCTGGCACATGCGAGGCTCTCATCCATCGACCTGGTGGTGGCAGTCTGGCAGGCTGCAGCACGCAGGACCGGGCAAGTCCGCACCCGCCACCAGGGCGGGCGGGCGGGCGGGCAGGGTTGTGGACTTGAATGGGGAAGTAGGTCCTGCCCAGGGGTAGAGGGGCATCCCATGTCTTTTCGGGTATTCAGCTCCCCAAATCCCAAAGCGTCTTTCGAAAAAAGACAGAGTGCTTGCTAGGTTAGGGGCAGAGGGAAATAAAGTACAGGCCAGCCTGAGGTAGGGGGTGTTCACAGCAACGCCAGCACCTATTTAGTCCCTTGCTGCCCCATGCCCCACACTAAAAGAAGTCCCCACCACTTTTACCCTCCTCCCCCTCTGTCCCAGAAGCACAGCCAGCCGGGTGGCTGTTACCCGATGCCCAGCGCAGCTCCCAACCATCCGAAACCCGACGCAGGCCATCTGGGCTATCTGTGCCGCGCCACCCTGCCCCACTCCCGTCTCCAATGGGCGCACTGGGACGACCCCGCAGCCGTCGGTTGTTCCGGCCGGGCGGCAGCCTGGCACCCCACACGCGTCCTCACGAACCACACCCTCTCCCAAGCCTCACCAGTTCCCAGCGGAGCTGGCTGAGGAAACTGTCCAGCCGAGCGCTGTGCATGTCCGTGCTGGAGCCCCCACCAGGCCTGCCGGTTCCTCCTGGAACCCGGGCGGGAGCGGTGCAGAGGGCCGGGCCGGCCGGCCAGCAGCGCCCTCGCTCCCAGCCTTGCTCGGTGGCTCCTCGCTCTCCGTAGCTGCCGCCGCCCCAACATCTGGCAGCCGCGCCCCGCCCCCGGCGCCGCAGCCAGTGGGGGCGGGGCGAGGCTGAAACGGCCCCGCCCCCCGGGCCCGCTGCGTGAGTAACCCGGGCGTACCCTCCCCACTCCACAGCTGCTCCTGCGGGGAGCGGCGGGACTGCCTCTGAAAGCCAGACAGGGTCTGGCCTCCGGCCCTCGACGCCCGGGCGGTTGAGCTGACCCTGCATTGCTGCGTGACGCAAGGCAGGTCGCTGCTTTATCGTCCCCATGTGCAATGGAATAGCGGTCCCTACCACCGGCACCCAGTCCTGCGCCCGCATGCGGGCAGAGGGCCCCGGATTGTCCGACCCAGAGATGATGTGGCTAACTCGGGGCCTGACCCACTGAACCCATTCTTGAGGTTGGCCTCGACAATCCTGGGAAGTGGTGGGAGTGGGATTAGGCCTTTCTGAGGATTCCAAGAGCGCGGGACCTTGCGGCAGCGCAGGGGAGGGGCCTCAGCCAAGGCCCAGCCCGCGCCCTCCTGCCCGAGTCCCGGCAGAGCCAGGCCGTACCGCCCTCTAGCGGGGAGCGGCGACACGCCGCCGCCTCTCCCTGCCTGGTACCACGTGCAGACTAACGATCGCTGCGGGGTCGGGGGAAGGCCACGCTCTCCGGCTGGAATGGTCAGAGCCTGTCTCCGGAGGCCGCTCTATGATCTCAGGCTAGGCTCAAGGATACAGTGTAACTGAAGACAGAAGAGACATCTCAGCCCACAGGAAAATACCGGGGAATGAGGGCGATGGGCTACCCTGGGGGAGAGGAGTCTCAGAGGACGTGACATCAGGATGCAGTCTAGATGAGCCATCATGGAGAGGTCAAGAAGATCGACCAAGGTGGAGAAATCAGCCCGTGTAAAGACCCTGAGGGACAGGAGCTGAACAGGGCCAAACATAAAGAAGGCCCAGGCAGCTGTGATTGGTGGTGGTGGAGGGAATGAAGATGTCAGAAAAACTAGGCTCTAGCAACGCTGGAAAGGAATATGGGGTTTGTTTTTTGTGCCATGAGAAGCAATGGGGGCCTTTGAGCAGGGAGTGAAGTGGGCTGGCCTTTGTTTAGATAATTTCAGCTGCTTTGGGAGAAGGACTCTGTATAAAAAGAGTGGAGGGTCCTTTCAGATGTGATTCATACCTGTAATTCCAGTGACTGAGGAGGCTGAGGTGGGAGGATCGCTTAAGGCCAGGAGTTCAAGACCAGCCTGAGCAAGAGTGAGACCCTGTCTCTGGAAAAAATAGAAAAATTAACCAGGTGTGGTGACGCACACCTATAGTCCCAGCTACTTGGGAGGCTGAGGCATGAGGATTGCAGACTCCTGCCCTCATCCATGCAAGGTAGGTCAGGGACTCCGCTGGGTAGATGTACCAAATAGGGAAAGAGGGGCATCAAGGGGCAATTGAGCATGACTCCTATATTTCCATCCTGAACAAATGACTGGTTGTATGGAATTGCCATAAATTGAACTGGGAAAGACTGGAAAAGAGTAGGTTTGGGTAGGAAAGTCAAACGATCATTTGTAGACATGTGACCTTTGAGATGCCTGCTAGACATCCCAGAAAAGAGGCAGGGCCAGCTGCTAGGTGCATGATTCTGGAGTTCAGGAGAGAGATCAGCAGCGTAGCCTTGGATCTGGGAGGCAAAGTGAAGGAATAGTATTTAAGGTCTTTAAGATGAGATATTTAAGATGAGTATTTAAGATGAGATAGGGGGAGATGAGCACAGATAGAGGGGGACAGTAGTCAGGACTGTGCCCTGGAATATTCCAGTAGGTGGAGGTGGAGATGATGAAGCAGAACCAGCAAAGGAGCTGGGAAGGAGCAGCCAGAGAGGTGGGAGAAAACTGAGAGAGTGTGGGGACTTGGGAGCCAAGGGGAACAAGCATCAACTGCTGCACTGGCAAGGAGGTGAGGCTGGAGAACAAACCACTGGATTCTGCAATGTGCAGGCCGCTGAGGACCCTAACAAGGGCAGTTTTGTATAGAGAGGAACAAGCCTGACTAGGGTGGGTAGAGAAGAGAATGAGAAGCAAAGACTAGAGAAAGCAAGTAAAGAGAACTTTTTAAAAAATTTGACATATAATATAAATACAATATATGGACAAATCTCAAATGTACAGCAAAATAAATGTTAAAATCTGTAGACATGTATGCACCTGCCACCCAGATCAAGATACAGAACATCCTCAGCCACTCTAAGAAGCCACTTTGTGCCCCCTCCAGTTGATATCCACAAAGTTTACCACTATTTTTTTTTTCTTTAATTTCAAATGTGGATCATACGTTTACCACTATTTTATTTCTATCACAAAGGATTCCTTTTACTTGTTGGATGTAGACAAATTTTGAGATATTTTGTTGAGGGTTGGGCTCATATTTTGTAGGCAGATAATTTTCTAGTGTTTGGGGGGAAGCAGGGCAGCTGGAATTCAGACTGTGGAGTAGCAGGTTTGCTCTGTCTCTAAGGATTGCACGACCAGTTTCCCCAACTGAACCTTGACCCTTCTCCCCTCACATCCCCTTCGGGTTGTGGTAATGAATAGGGGCATTCATTGGGGGCAGTGGAAAATAGGATTTTTCAGGCCTCTGGAAGCCTGCCAGGGGTCTAGAGCTCAGTCACCAGGGATGGGTGGGGCTAGAATCTGGAAGGCCCAGAGTCCCGCCTGCCCAGCTGTGTTTGAGCAACTGACCTAGCAACGGGGTGGGCCTGACAAACAACCTGGCTTCCTGAAGCTTCCTCTGCTGTTTGAATCTTTAGGCCACCATGGTGCTGCTCAGGCTCTTGGTGCTCCTTTTTGCTCTGGTTGTCTCTGGTGAGGAGCTGGTGGGTGAGAGAGCCCCAGTTTTCCCCTGGAGTCCTGACCCTTCTCAGATAAGCTACCATGGAGGGCATGGGGGAGAGGCAGGAAAGCATAAGGATCCCCAACCATCCTTCCTTATCTCACTCCCTGTCTGTGAAATGTTGGATATGGGGGACAAGGAAAGGCCTTGGCTGCTTGGCCTCAAGCTGTGGCCAGGCCCTGTGGTAGAAGGGTAGGACTATGCTGGTATATGTGGTTCCATGAGCATGGGGGGCCTCCAGCTTGATGGCCTGCTCCTCACAGACCTCCAGAGCCTGCCCTGGTTTATAAATGTCTCCGAGAGCCAGGGCCCTGGCACCATCCTTCAGTCTTTCTCCTTCAACTGCTCCTCCCACACGCCCACCCTGGAGTTGCTCGATGTGCAGCCAGCTACCACCTTCTTCAACCGACCCAGCTTGGCCAGGTGGCAAGGGATCTACGTGGGCAAGGTAGGGTCATGGATACAGCTGGGGACTGTGGGGCACTAGGGCAGACCCAAAGTTCCCAAAGCCCCTTGTGGCACTGCCCACCCACCACAGGTGACCTTGAGCAGCTCCGCTCGGCTGGATGCCCTGATGGTGAACCACTATGAGCTGCAGCTTCGGTTCACCTGTGGCAACCATGTGATGGAGGGACCCCTCTTTGTGGATGTGCAGCGGGACCCTGGCCATATCCAGTGTGCTGGTCAATTTGCCAGCCCAGGTGAGGCCAGGGTTAATAGGCAAGGTGTGGGCAGGCACGGCCTGAACAGATCCTCCCTGACCTCCTCTCTGGCCAGCTGGGGAAATGATTCAGGTGCCGGAGACAGTCACACCTGGTGCCCGGCTGTACACTCTGCTGCTCCCAGGCCTAGAATCCCAGGGAGCCCAGGTAAGCCTAGCACATGGGGTAGTGGGTGACAGGATGAGGGCAGGGGGTATAGGGAGAGTAAACTCAGTCCCTGCCTGGCCAGGCACAGCCTGCAGAGGGACTCTGCTGCAGAGGCACGGCTAAGCCTCTGCATGAGGTGGGTTCTTGGAGACAGCTGCTGAGGGCTATTTACCCCACAGTGACCATGGCTGTTCCCATAGGGACATCTCAGGGGCTGAGTTCTTCTTTCAAGTTCTCCTATGTGTTCTGAGTTCTCCATGACAATTCTGTGTCACTTTTGTAATTTAAAAAATGTAGTTAAAAAACAAAGTAATTGGTTTAAAAGCAGAAAAGATTGAGGAGCAGGGCCAGGGCTCAAGGAGGAAGTCAGGGAGCCCAGGCTGGAGTAAGGGTCAGCAGTGGGGTATAGGAGAATTGGGTGTGGGCAGGTGCCTGATGTGTTGTTGAGCATGTTAACAGGGGTGCTCAGGAGACTGGGGGCTGAATGGAATCACCAGCATCTCTGTTCTGTCAGATGAGCATTATCAGTGTCCAGGACCCTCCATACTTCCCTGGACCTTTCTCCATCAATGAGCAAGGTTGGCTGCAGGCACCATCCCAGGGCCTCAAAGGCCAAGCTGAAAAGGTGAACATAACTTGGGACCAGGGGGTATCCATGGATTGGGTAGAGTCACTACCTTCTGGAAATTTGTTTGTTCTTGGCCTCCTTGGTCTCCTTGACTAATGGTGCCTCTCCCAGTCCTGCACCTGCTGCACCATGCTGGCTATCCTCCCACCTTGGCCTGATTCTGTGCTAGGCTCTGGAGTTCCAGAAAGAGGAGTTCCACCAGAGTCCCTGGCTCTGAGAGCTTACATTCCTGCTAATAGAGAGTGTTTAGGACAATCACACATTAAGAAAGGTTCTGGGTAAAATGGGCAGTGCAGTCTGGAGGAGGTTAGAAAAGTTCCCTGTTTAAAATTTCCACCTTTCAGTGACTGGCTCCCAGTAACTCTAAGGTGATAACTGACATGGTAAATGACTCAGATATCATTCTTTCTTGGGCTGTTTGCATCCTAATAGAAGAATTTATGGCCCAAAGTATAGAGTGTCAGCAGAGGGACAAATAATGGGGAAGAGTGAACGCTGTGGCTGCTTGTAGAGGTCTTGAGGGAGGCTACTCATTTGAGGGCAGGACTGGGCACAAAGAGGTGGACACACCACGGTTCTCTTTCTGTTCTGTGTGCACTGCAGGTCTTCCAGCTGCAGATCTCAGTGTCCTTTGGACAAGGCCAAAGCTGTCAGGGGATGGTGATGGTGAAGGTTTTGCCTGTTCTCTCTAGCCAGGTCTCCTTCCTGTAAGGCACAGTGGGGGAGGTGGGGCTTATCCCCAGGCAATCAGGGTGCTGGCTGCTGGAGCATCATCCTAGCTCCTGTAGGAGGGGAGTCCCCGGGAAGGACCCTGTGGACTCCAGTGGGGAAAGCAGGAGCAGGCAGTAGCCAGTAGCCCCTTTTTGGTCCAGGGAGGAGGCCCAGAATATCACCATCCCTGAGAACCTGGTCCCTGGGAGCAAGGTGGCTCAGGTCCACGCCCGGGGCTTTGACTTGCGCTATGAAATCCTCTCCCCGATGCCCAGCCCATTCTTCTCCATTGGACAAGGTGAGAGGTATAGTGGGAGGGGAGGGTACCAGAAGCCTAGATGCCTCTGTGGCTGGTCCAGAGGTGCCCTGTACCACCTCCTTGCCTTTCTGTTTTGGGACCTACCCTTGGAGGAGAACCGGAGCTTCTCTGTCAGAGGATCTGGAGGATGGGTGGGTGGGTGGGAGTGGAACTGAGCTTGGAGTGGGGCAAACTCTGTGTCCCCTACCCTCCCACCCTGTCCAGCAGATGGCGTGGTCCGGACTACCGCGCCACTGGGGTTGGCTCGCACTCCAGGCATGGTGGCCACCAGGCTGCAGGTGAAGGCCTTTGAGCGGCTCCGGCCATGGGCCAGCGCCGAGCTCGACCTTACGGTGAATGTGCAGCTGGTCAACCAGTGGCCCCCGCGCTGCCTCCCAGCGCTCCTGATGTGAGTGCATGTGAGCCATACCTGGGCTGCTGTGGTGAGAGCTGCAGCTCATGGCTAGGCCAGACTCCTGCCTTGTCCCCTGCCCTCCACTCCCAGGTCTCAGGTCCCTGAGACTGTGCCTGTGGGCACTGTGCTGCATACCCTCACTTGCACTGATCCGGACTCTGCTGGCACCACCCTCGACTACCAGCTGTTGTTCCACAGTCCTCCTAACCCCAACAGCCTCTGCCTTCATGACAGAGTCCTTGAGGTACCCAGCCCCAGCTCCCAGACCCATTTGCAGGGTGCTTGCAGGAAGGGGTGGGTGGCCCAAGGGCCTGCAGCTGAGATCATGGGGGGTTGGCGTGGGGGTGGAGGTATGGCTGTTGAGCCAACCTGCTTTGCAGTACAGAAAACAAAGGATCAAGGTGGGCTATCTCTAGATGCCCTGGCCTGAGGTAGCCCAGTGGGGCTCAAGGCTCTTGTAGGCCCTGGCTGGGCCTCACTTTCTGGCCCCTCTGGACAGGTGAATGCCACACTGGACTGTGATACTCCTGGAGCCTGCTTCCAGTATGCAGCCTCCATCTTGGTGCTTGATGGTGGTCAGCCCCAGATGACCAGTGAGTGACTATACCCAATCCTGAAGATTCAGGACAGGGCTGTTCTGTCCTCCCCATTCCCATTCCCAGGACAGGGTCATCTCTCCTCCGTCAGAATCCAGTAGGGCAAGGTTGTTTCCATTTCAGTCCCCTAGAGTGTCTTTCTTAGACCACCAGTAGGGGAGGGCTATTGCCCTTCTCTAGACCCTCTTCCTCCTCAGATCCCCAGGGCAGGGTCATGTTTCCCTTCCCCAGACCTCCAGGTCAGGGTTAGGCACCCCAGGCCAGCTCCCTGACTGCCAAATGGCCCCCAGCTGAGGTGCCAGTACTGGTGATGGTGACACCCGTCAATGAGTTCTCCCCAGTGTGTGCCCCACGCACATTCTGGGTTCGGGAGGATGCAGAGCCCCACACCATAGGCTCTGTGGTGGGCACGGATGTGGATTACCCGCATGACAGCGTTGAGTACTACACTTCTGGTTGGCCTGCCATCTTTGCTGTGGACCGTCTCAGCGGTACTTCCACTGCAGGGCTGGGATGGATGGGTGGAGCCAGAGTTGGCTCTGCAGGCTGAGACTGTGGCCACCCCCTCTAGGGGAGGTTCATCTCCTGGGGCCTTTGGACTATGAGCAACAGAGGCTGTACAGGCTCACTGTCCTGCTGATTGATCATGGCCAAGACTGGGACCCCACCTGTCACCGCTCAGGCTCTTGTACCATTACCATTGAAGTTGAGGTAATTGAGTCCCAAGGCCTTGGAAATGCCTGGAACAAGACATTAATCACCTTTCTCCCCTCTTGCATTTTGCTTTTCTACTCTGTACCTCAGAGAAGAAAAGCCATTAATGGCTGGAGGGGAGTAGGGTCTCATTGTGGAAAGCTTTGGAGCCTGTTGCCTGATGCCTCAGCTCTGGCTGTGGTGGGAGGAAGCTGAGGGGCTGGCCTGGAGGTTTGGGGAGGGGGTTGCACCCACTCCTAACCTGGCTGCCTTTCCACAGGATGTGAATGACTATGCCCCCGAGTGTGAGCCCTCATTTCAGGAACTCACCATCTACACTTCTCTGGGCCAAAGTGTGGAAGTGACCAAGGTGTCATGCCGGATCCCCCAGGAGCCACAGCGCCTAGCCTTCTCCTATGACATTGTGGGAGGTGGGAGCTGTGGGGTTACGCGGGCCTTCAGGTTGTGGGTGAGTGGCAGGCCAAGGCCATCAGTGGTCCCCACCTCCTGCCACTCTGCTTTCAGGGAACAGCCAGAGCCGATTCAGCCTGCAAGGGGCCATCCTGGTGCACAATGACCCTGCGTTGGGGTCCCCCTGGCCAGAGCATCCCCGTACCTACGAACTATTGATTCGTGTGGCAGATGCAGGCCCCTCCATCTCCCACCTCAGCACCACAGCCACCATCATTGTGCATCTAGTTCCCTGGAAAGCCAGCACAGTGGCCACCAGCACCCATAGAGCCACAGTGAGAACACTCCTCAGGCCCTTAGGGGTGGGGAGAGGAACTTGGAGGGTGAGGAGACCCAGTTTTTCAGGAGGAACGATGGGGGAAGGCATTTCAAAGGAAACTGTTGAGTGCAAAGAGTCTGGCAATACAGAAGAGCAAATCTGGGGTGTGGGGTGGCCCAGCCCATGGGGGAGGGTCGAGGGCTGGGTGGTCAGGGCATTTTGGCAGGGCAGTGCTAAGGCTGTGGCTTTCATTTCAGGTGCCCTCCATAATACCCCTGCTTGTGACAGACACAGAAGCTTTCTGGCAGCCAGAGCCCTGGTTTGTGGTGGTGCTGACAGCTACTGGTGCCCTTCTCCTCTTGGCTCTGAGCTGGCTCCTCTGCAAACTCCTTCAGGGGTAGGGTTGCTATCTCTGTGCTCCCTGCCTGCCCGCAGCCCACATATGGACCCTAGCTGTGATAAGTGGTTTTGCCCAAGATTTAATGACAATGCCCAAGTTGAGGGCAAACTGATATTGAAGAAGGCTGCTCTCCTTCATGAGGTCTTTAGATTATAATCAGAAAGACACTGGGGGGAAGCAATCTCCATCATTAGCAGAGCCCAGTCTTGGAATGGGATGGGTGTAGATAAGCTCAGGGCTTGAAACATTGAGCCTGTCATGTTTTGAGCATTTACCCCTATTCCTGATGCCTGCCCTCTACTGGAAACCTGCCCTGCTCCTGCAGGAAACTCTGAGATCCTTGGGAGCTTGGGACTGAGCCCAGGGGAAGGGGGGATAACAATGTGAGTATTGCATACACACATTGACTTTTCCCAATATAAAGGGATAGATGAGTGGTGTTGGTTCCTGGAGCCAGTAGGCTTGCTGCCCTCAGTGCTTGGTTCCTCCTCCTGGCATTTTAGGTTGGCCCAGTTGCTGCAGGAACCAAGCAAACCAGCCCAGGCTCTGCTGCTAAACAGGTTAGTCTTTATTTGTATATCTCTGTGCCAAGGTGCCCATCTCTTAAACTCAGGCTAAGGCCCAGAGCCTGATCCTGTCTTCCTGCTTCCGCTTTGCCACAGCATCCAGGAAACTGAGGGGCCGATTGAGGGGTTTGTGGAGGTACCGAGGATGGAGAGATCCCAGGCATCCAGCAGCATCATAAGCCTGGTATGTCAACTCACCATCCCGAGTAGTGGGCAGTGAGGCTGCTCCAGAGTACTCCCCTGCCCCTGCCAAGCCTGCCCCCTTCCCTGTGGGAGTGAGCACACCAGCACCATCGGGATGGAGGAGGCAGGTGGGCTCCTAGTCCCTCCAGGGGCAGGCCTCCATCTGCTCCTGTGTGGGCAGGGTTCAACTCATTGTACCTCTCATTTTTCCCATCAGCAACATTTTGATGGCAGAGCGCAAGACTCCCGTGAGTCCCCCTCATCCCAAACTATTCTTTACCTGGGCCCTCACCCCATCTTAGTATCTCCTCTTCTCCTGAACTCAACTTAATATCTCTTCCTACTACCAGGCACCCACTGTCCATCTACTTTTCCCTTGAATTGGCTCTGCTCTCACCCCCAGTCACCCTTCAGGCAACCTTTGTCAAACACCTGTGAGGCCAGGAGATGACTCATACCTGGTCTGGTCCCTGCCCCTGGGGGAGGACAGTTGGTGGTGAGGGGAGAGGCCCCCAGATAGTCTAGTGTTAGCAGTGAATTATGGTAGAGTGATCTGACACTGGCCTTAGAAAAGCTATTGTCCAGTTTTGGAGACGCAAGGAGGCTTCCTGGGCATCTGAATCAGACTTCAGAGAATTTGCAGAGAAAGGAGGTTGGATCCCAGGTTGGATCCCAGCAGGGGGCATCACATCTAGGGTCCTGGAATGTCTTCCCTTACCCTTATGAGAGGGAGGCAGTTCTGCTGGGGCCAGCAGCGCCCTCTTTCTTTCCTGCTCATCTGGGCTCAGGTACAGGAAGAGACTACCTATTCAACACGCGCACAGGAACCCGGCGCTGGCTCTAAGGCCAAGCAGCTGCTTCGCTCTGTGTGGAATTTCTTTTTCACATGATCATGGACTGTGTTTTCAAGTTGATTCAATAATAAAAAAAATACAAACAGAAAAGTCCCAGCCTTGTAACCTTTGTGTGGGAGAAACTCTGAGATCTGTGCTTCCTTGTTCTCACTTGGAGAATGTCCTACCTTGTGAGAACACTCTAGAGCATAGGTAATTTGTTTTCTTTTTAGGTTTTTTTTTTGTTTGTTTCTGCCATATGTTGTGAAATTACAGGATTGAGCCACTATGCCCACCCTAAATTCACTTTTTTTTTTTTTTTTTTGAGACAGAGTCTCCCTTTGTTGCCCAGGCTACAGTGAGTGCAGTGGTGTCAGCCTAGCTCACAGCAACCTCAAACTCCTGGGCTCAAGTGATCCTACTGCCTCAGCCTTCCGACAAACAAAAAAAAACCTAAAAAGAAAACAAATTACCTATGCTCTAGAGTGTTCTCACAAGGTAGGACATTCTCCAAGTGAGAACAAGGAAGCACAGATCTCAGAGTTTCTCCCACACAAAGGTTCACAGGCTGGGACTTTTCTGTTTGTATTTTTTTTATTATTGAATCAACTTGAAACACAGTCCATGATCATGTGAAAAAGAAATTCCACACAGAGCGAAGCAGCTGCTTGGCCTTAGAGCCAGCGCCGGGTTCCTGTGCGCGTGTTGAATAGGTAGTCTCTTCCTGTACCTGAGCCCAGATGAGCAGGAAGAAAGAGGGCGTGCTGGCCCCAGCAGAACTGCCTCCCCTCTCATAAGGGTAAGGGAAGACATTCCAGGACCCTAGATGTGATGCCCCCTGCTGGGATCCAACCTGGGATCCACCTCCTTTCTCTGCAAATTCTCTGAAGTCTGATTCAGATGCCCAGGAAGCCTCCTTGCGTCTCCAAAACTGGACAATAGCTTTTCTAAGGCCAGTGTCAGATCACTCTACCATAATTCACTGCTAACACTAGACTATCTGGGGCTCCCCCTCACCACCAACGTCCTCCCCCAGGGGCAGGGACCAGACCAGGTATGAGTCATCTCCTGGCTCACAGGTGTTTGACAAAGGTTGCCTGAAGGGTGACTGGGGGTGAGAGCAGAGCCAATTCAAGGGAAAAGTAGATGGACAGTGGGTGCCTGGTAGTAGGAGGAGATATTAAGTTGAGTTCAGGAGAAGAGGAGATACTAGATGGGGTGAGGGCCCAGGTAAAGATAGTTTGGGATGAGGGGGACTCACGGGAGTCTTGCGCTCTGCCATCAAAATGTTGCTGATGGGAAAAATGAGAGGTACAATGAGTTGAACCCTGCACACATG